TTGCAACTTTGTAAGATAACAGAAATATTATTTGCATCTTTTATGATTATGTTGCAAGTTATATTTTACTGTTCAACGTAACGATTTATTTGTGTTTATTATTTATTGAAGGAGAACATAAAAATAAAAATAAAAGAAAAATCATAATAAAAAATTGAAAAATAACATTCCGACCCAATGAAAACATTTCTTTCTTTCGGAAGTATTAAAAATTCTTTGTAAAAGTAATTATATATTTACAATATCACAAGTATATTGTACTTTACATATCTAAGTATGTATATATAAAATCAAAATATATATTGTAATATAACGGACATAAGAATACTAAAATAAAGTTACGGAATTTAAATGAAGATTTTAAAATGTATTTGCCCTAAAGCAATGTTAACTAATGTAGATTAAAATGAAACAAAATAATAAACTTGAGTCCAAACTAATGAGTTTTTAAAGTAGCAAATTTTTCTTTAATAATTTAAGTTGTTAAAAATAAATTTTTGATAAGAACGCACTTTTTTTTGTTAAAGTTATTTTCTTATTCCATACACCTGAGAAGCATTTAATAAACCAAAGAATGTTAGTGCACATTATAGAGGTTAAATTGTACTACTAAAATATAACTGAACATTTTTTGATAGGAAAATATTTTCCGTTTTATTAATTTTTGCTTTTATATACAATTGACATACGGTTTTAAATTTTGCACGAAAAAGTTATTGAAAATTGGCATTTTATAAGTTTTAAGGGGACGGAAAGAGACTGTATCGTTCAGTGCAATTTTTCTTTTCAGGAACTTTTTATTAAAGTGAGGAAATTATCAGCAATTTTCCATGTTTTTAGACGATCTTGAAAAGAGGAGTTGTTAGTTTTCTGCTTTTATGAAATTGAAAATTTATTTGTGGTTTCAACACAATAACGTTGGTAGTTATAAAAAAAAGAGATAAAAAGAGGGAAGGAAGACAAAGAGATGAAAACGTATTGTTCTAAAGAAATATTTAAACTCATATACAAACGAACTTATTAACTTGAACGAAGAGAAGAAATGACCGAACAAAGTCAACGTTATAATCGAATTATTTCCAATTTTTCATGAATTTTGTTGTAAATAAAGAGTAAATGTAAATGTAATTATGTAATACATAATTCTGCTTTTAAGTGTGAACTGCTTAATTAGTTAATTAATACCATTTTACGGTATTTTGGCAGTCAGAATTTATTTATGCTCACGTCACGGCGTTTGTTCTAAATACTCTAATAAAAATTGAGTAATTTGTCTACTGGTAAAGTATTATTGAAATTTTGAAGTATGCAATACACATCTATGTATATTTATAAATATATGAAATTCAGTTTAAAATACGCAAACCCTAACTTCAAAATTTTAGTAATTGCATATTCCATACATAAGCTTACGAATTATTATTGCTGAATTGAGCGATATATTATAAATACAGATCTATTATAATATAATTTTGAAGTCAAGGATAAATTTTTGTACTCTTCCATCACAATACTCTTTATGATTACATTTTGTTTACCTTTCATTTAAAAAAAATAATTTTTGGTAAAGAATGTTCTAAATACAAAGAATTTAAGATCTTTGAATGGAATTTTATTTAGTGACAATAAAAAATAGAGTTGATCGTGTTAGATCTGTGATACCTGTACGAATTTGCTATCCTATGTTCGAATACATAAGCCATAACTGACTATGGAACAGACAATGACTTTAAGTTGCCGTATTACAATATTAATTTATACAAAATTTCAGTACTGTGTTTTCAATATTTTCTAAGATATGGCCAAACTACTATTGAAGTTGTATGGCAGTTACCAGAAAGAGCCAAGCAATTTCAAAGAATTTTAACAAACACATTGGCCCCACTTATATATTGGCCCCACTTATATATTGGCCTGTGTAAATAAATTTTGAAGTTGCATGTCCGCGTCAAGCCGTATATGGATAATACCATCGGCAAATACCAGGGCGGCGAATCATCTTTTCATTGATTTCAAGGCTGCATACGACTAGATCGAAAGGGGAAAATGAAGCCATTACTGAATTTGGTTTTCCGGATAAACTGTTTCACATCAGCAAAATAGTCTTGGCGCGCACGCTCTGTGCTGTAAAAATCGATGGTGTTGTTTCTAGTAATTTCCAAACTCTAAAAGGCTTTGCACAAGGCGACGGAAACTCGTGTGATTTCTTTAATGCTGATATTAATACCCGTGGTACCATTTTCCAAAGATCACACCGGGTTATAAGGTATACATACGACATAGATATCACGGAACCAACGAGAGGTGTCGTCAGCCTTTCAAACGTTAGAATGTAAAGGTTAGGTCTTTCAGTGAAACAAAACACGAAATACATGCAGGAAACCCCAAACCAATCTCTCCGCCAGCATATCGGGCAAAATATAGGTACGGGAGAGTATAACTTCGAGGTAGTGGAATAATTTATTATATATAAATAAATCGCAGAATAATTATGGCAAACAGGCTCTCCCGCGAAGTGCAAAATTGATTTTATATAAAACACTAGTAATTCCCGTCCTCATGTATAGATCAGAAGCCTGGACTATGCCAAAAACGGATGAAAATCACTTGGGCACTTTAGAGTGGAAGATTCTGCGGTTTATTTTTGGTCCTACTAACGTCAATGGGGTTTTGGCGAAAGAGATATAATGCAGACTCTATGAACTGTTCAACGAGGCTGATTTCGTGAAAAAAATAAAACCTCAGAAACTAAGATAATATTAAATAACTGCAATATTTGTAGGTATGTACCCGAAACGTCTTCTACGGTTTTCAATTAAGAAGCATTCTAAATTATAAACGTATACGAAATTTAATTTTAATTGCTTTCCGTGATTAACCTTATTATGCTTAATTCTAGTATGAGTGTAACATAGGTAGTATAGATAAATAAAAATAGTAACGAGACTTTAGTACCGTCGGTAACTTTTTTACTTTCCATTATTATCAAATAAATAATAAAAAATTCCTGTACATAATACCGAGATATTTTTAAAAAATAATTTAATACTCAAGAATTTATTAGTAATAACGTTCTATGTTTCTGTTATTTTGCCGTATTTGATTTATTTTAATGCGAATAGTATTTTCATACTTGCGTAAACACACTTGAATTGCATTTCAACTTTATTATTTAAATATTTAGAACAAATATTATTCTTATAAAATTATATAAAGATTTAAAAATCTTTACATAATTCTTTCAATTTATGAAAATATGGTTTCATGGATAAATCTACCATAATCCTTTGACAATATTATAGAATGGCTTATTTTGAAAATTTCAAGTTTAATTGTAAGCGCAATATTGCAACGTTTTCATTTAAGCTAACTCAAAAATTTGGACCATTTATTTAGCTTGAAAGTTTAACTTGGAGACTTGCAAAACAAACAATTCATCCTTATGATATAAGTTAAATAAAATTATTGAGCTTGTATCTGTATATATAATCTTTCTTCAAGTTCTATATTGTAGCAAGGTTTTTAAATTTAATAGAAAAATTTTTGTTCAATCTGAGTTCAGTAATTAATGTTTAGCTGAATTTCAAAACCACTTTTTCTTTACTAAACGAGAACACTATTTTATCAAAACTATTGCATAAAACAAGGGAGATTATTTGAGTACACCAAAATTTCGTATATCGGTGCCAATGCACTTCTCCATTCTAAAGAGAAATATTAATAAATTTTTTTTTAAAAGCATGTCTTTCAACCTGTTCATGCCATATAGAGTATCTAAATTTCTATTAGAAAAATTATTTTAATTTTAAGAATTGTCAATCTAATAAAAATTAAAAATAGAATTAATTAATAGGGATTAGAGAAAAAAATAATTAGAAAATAGAAATTTCTTAATGCTATTCAGAAAATATACATTAAGGTTAAGAGTCGATAACATCAGTTTTGTGTTTTAAAGTTGTACAAGGCAATTTTTTTTTTAAATATTCAGATGTTTAAGGATTTTATAAAAAAAAATAGCTGTATATATATATATATATTTATTTTACTAAAATTACCGTTTAATTCTATTTTCAAAACATAAATTCAACTATTAAAATTTAATGTAAGTATTATGTGTGCTGATGATAACAGGTTTGAAATGCGACGGTACACATAATTTGTTTTTTTTTTTTTAATTTCATAAACCATAAATTAATTTGGTAATTCAAAATTTGACAAAAACAAGTGAATTTTTTTTTAATTTTAATAATTTTTTAAAATTATTATTAATAAAATGTTATTAAAATTTATAAAAATATTATTAATAAAATGTTTTCTTAATGCCACCTGAACAGATTTAAATATGAAAAACTATAAATAACAAAATTAAAAAAAAATTTTGTAATATGTAAATATATAAAAATAACTACATAAATACACATACAGATTGTATATTATGTGTGTGTATTTGCCTACATACATACATACGTGTCGTTATAAAATATGACTATTATAAATCAGTTATCCATTAGTGCAGTGGTTATGGCACCAATCCTTTAACTTTAAGGGACGCAGGGACAAACTTCGGTCAGGTCTTTATAAAAATTATATATTTAATATTATAACTAATATACATACAATACTTATAAAATGTTACACAAGTAATTACACTAAGGAAAATAAACAGTAAGATATATTACTAAACTTAAATATTTAATATAAAGAAAAAACTACGACAGGCTAGTCACCTACCTACTTAAATCTCTATGACGCAATGAAACTACGACATGATATTATCATGCACTAGTAGCCCTATGCTCCTCACTAGGAGTGAAAAAGGAAAAAATCAGTTATAGAATTTTCTTTTAAAACTTAAACATTTCTAGTCCCTTTTTTCTATAAAGCGAGTCATAGAAGACATATCTTATAAATATATATGTATTTATATAGGCAGGTACTATCTACAAATTAAAATCAAACAATTATTTAAAAATTTTAACAAAAAATATATATGTACGTACTTTATTTGAATAAGTTTTAACTATATTAATTTTTCATTCACTCATATATTATATTTCTTTTTTATGTATGTAACGTACATATATCAAATATATACGCATTTGTATATGAATTATTTATTTGTAATTATTTTCAAAATATTTGATTCGACATAAATATAACACGTATAATAAGAATTACTAAATAATGTTCATAAAATTAATTTTTATTTAAATTTTATTATTAGTACTTTTAATAAAACTTTAATTTAGAATTATTATTTAAATAACACTTAATAATGCACATCCGTGTACATAATTATATCTAAATAATATGTAAATACATAAGTGCGTGGAAGGAAGAAAAACAAAAACAAAATAAATTTAGAAAATTTGCATCACGTTATTAATATAATTTTTTTTTTTTAAATATTTACGTACATATTTTTATTTTTTTCCGTTATTTTTATAATTATCTTTTTATTTATTAATTTTAATAATAAAAATATAAAATTTTTAACGCAAAATAATTATTATTAATTAATTAAATTTTGTTGCTGCCAAAAAATAATTAACGCTATAAATAATTAATTATTGCACATTAAAATTTCACACAATACAATCCGCGCGATTTTATTACTTCGGATGGTGGTGGTGCTGTTAGCGCTGCTGCGTTTATTATTATCGTTTCTTTTTTTTTTGTGTTATTCTGTTGATCTTTTTTCTTTTTCTTTTTTTTTCATTTATTATAATTATTTATCATATATATTTTGTTATTTTTCAAATTCGAACCGTTGTGCACTACGATAAAATCAGTATTAAATTATGTTATGGTTATAAGGTGAATAATGAAAACATTCACCATCAATTTTAAACGAAAATCTATATTTATAAAATATACATATATACATATGTACATATAATATTATGTATGTATATTCTGTATACATGTGTAATTTTAAAATTTTTAGAGAAAAATTTTAATCAGAGTTGAGTCGATTTCAGTTTAATAAATATTATTTGTATAAATGTAGTCATAAATACAATACTTATGCTTTGAATTTAATATAACTATTATTTAATTAATTTATTTTGCTATATGTATGTAAATACAGATGATATAAGAACAGTTATATTATACATATAATACAAATTAATAATTTATTGTATCTATTTATATTATGTGTGTACATGCATGTATGCGTATAGAAGGTATATGACCGTAATTTAAATTTTTTTAATTAAAAAATTATTAAGGAAACTAGAAAAAATTGAAAATTAATACTTAAATAAAAATATGATAATGAAAAATACAAATTTAGTAAAATTAATTAAAATTTGAGTCATTACCATAAGTTGTCAGCACTGCTCTTTTGGGGGAGTAATCAATACAATGAATATTTTCTTCTTTCAACTTTTCAAATCTAGAGTTCAAGAATATATACAATAGTTTTCTAGCGCGAAAATTAGAATTATTAGATATTTCGCGTATTTATTTCCATATTACAATAATAAACTAAATTGCCAAGGGAAGCCTTAACCTTTTACAACCAAAATTAAAAGTAAGAATAAATTGGTGCTAATTATTTTGAAAATTGTATTATTTATTTTATTTTCACATGTTTCACTTATGTGAGATTTTTGTAACTCTTAAATAAAACTAAATACTATGTAAATCGTTTAATATTTCAGCACTGCGAAAAATTGCCTTCAGAAGTGCCTATTTTGTTACGTAAAATTAAAAAAAAAATATATACGAGTATATCCTTCACTTCAATATCTTGTTTACGTGAATTTTAAAATTTGAATTTCTTGGATGAAGTTTAAGAGGAATGTTTTAAAAGTTTTCATTGTAAAACTTTCGGTGTTGACTGAATCACCTAAAATATTCTACTTACTTCACAAAAATTAGTACGATACTTCGACCTACTGTCCATATAATAATTAGACTCTATTTTACGTCTTTATTAGGTACTATACAAGTATAATCTTACATTTACATCATTCTTATAAATATTCTTATAAATATTATTTAGGAAAAGTAATTTATACAATAACCTATACAAACATATAATATTTATATGAGCCGAACGTTTTGTAATCATAATGGTAAAACGATAATTGCTGATACAAATGCATAGTTATCCACTATTAGGAAAAGAAGAATAAATAACATACCATTTATATATACTCGTATTATCATTGACCAAAACAATATATGTACATATATTTTACTTCCCTTGAAAAATTATAGGGTAAAAGTATTTTTATATACATAAAGAGTGTTTTAGTAAAATCTTTTACGAAATTCAATTATATTTAAATATTTATAATATAAATAATTTTTATTTATTTGAATTAGTAATTATAACGCTTTTATATAGTGTTGATGAAACGTGTTAATACGATTATTATAAAAATTTGAAGTCTTTCGGAATCCGATACTCTAATTCGATTTTTCAATTCATTGCGCCGAAAGCGACAAATTGCAATTTTTACTAAACAACAAAAGAAAAAAAAAATAAATTTTTTTTTTATCCTTTATTTCAATTCTGGATCTTAATTTTCGATTTTGTCAAATCCTCATGTATACTAGCTGATTAATCTATAACATATTATATTATATGTGTTGTGTGTATATCTACTTGATATATATGTATACATATACATATGCATAAATATTCGTAGTTTAAAAAAAATAAATAAATAAAATTTTAGCAGGTTGAAAACTGCGCGAATTTTTTTTTCAATTTTTTTGCTTTTTATATTTTTTTAATTCTCTTATTTGCAATTATTTAGTGTATTTTGCTCTAACACGTTTTTTTACGCTCGTTCTGTCTTTTTATGATTATTATTGTTATTATTATTATTTAAGAAATAATAATATGTATAATATTATATTATAACCGAATGTATTTTTCTATAGAGGCACATAAACATGTAAGATATGCATAAATATGTACATACCTGCGTATGTTAAATTATAATATTATGCTATAAATAAATTCTATATATATACATATACTTATACTTTTTTATAAATTAATATAGTGACCATATATTTCTAATTAATAATGATATTGCTATTCAATCACATTGATTGTCCCACATTGTCATTTTTCTCATAGAATGCTCCTCATTTCAATCAATCTCAGAGAATGTTACTTACAATAAAACTATATATCCCCATTCTACAAATTTTGCATTTTTTAAAATATGAAAATATGGCAAAATCTTTCAACATTTTATTAATGAACAAAAACTTGCTGAATGAAAGAGTATTTTTCTACTGCGTATTGCCAATTTTCTACACCGATAACGCGATTCAAAGCCAAAAGACAAAAATTAGTATTGTAAAAAAACGCATACTTTGAATATTTTATCCCCGAAAGTTTACAAAAAGCAACCAGAACTTTTTGAAAGCAAGCTTTGCTTTACTCCACGTTTCCAAAAAAAATTCGGAAAACGTAACAATTTAAATTTTCAAAATATAAAACCGAATGTGATATTATATCATTGGAGTTTGCGTCTATTACGTAACGTGTTAATTTATTTTAAAACTAAGTCTCCTTACTTCGTCATATTATGAGTTTAAATTTTTAAAATGAAAATGTACATTCAATGATATAATATCTTTGATACAAATTTACAGAAATGAAGATTTCTACAATAAAACAGTTTATTAGTTCGTCATAAATAATTTATATGTAAAATGCAAAACAAAAACCATAAATAAATTTACATGATGGCTTTTTAATTGTTTCACATAAACGGTCTTTAATGAATGTACTTGAAAAAATGTCCCTCATTGTTATGTCTAAAAATCTGATCACTATACTTACATACATATACATTTATATAGAAATATCTATAACATTTTTTAATCAACATAAAGCCAAAAAAGCAGAAAAATAAGAATAAAACAGATAATAAAATACAGAAATAAAATAAATATGTTGTATTATATGCACTATATATATATAATATGAACTTATGTTGTACGAGGAATATACAAACATGCATACATATGCCAATACGTACATACTTATATTCATTTTCAGAAGGTAAACCCCAGGTAGGTAATAGGTTTTTTGATAGTTTTGTAAGCGGTAGGCGAATATTGTGACAAAAATAAATTTAAGAAAAATAATAATAATAATAAAGATAAAAAAAGAAAAATTTTCATTTAAATAATGTTACATAAACAATAAAATTTACAAAAGTAGAAATAAACAAACTTTTGTTTTTATTGCAATAATGCAACTGAAGTGCGAGAAAAATAGTAGTAAAAATAAATTGAAAGTAGAACAAAAATTAAAATGTATAAGAAATGCAAAAAAAAAAAAAACGTTTCTTTTCACCATACCAAACAATACCCACAATTCGCAAGTATGTTTTTCCTACATGATATGGTAGTGCGTTTATGAAGTATGTGCATGTATACATGTGTAAATCCATAGAAAGAACGTTCAATATCATATACTTACATAAATATTATGAATGTATTTAAGGTAAATAAATAAGCGTATACAATAATTTACATTTATTAATCGTTTTTTTTTTTGTACAATGGTGAATTTGTTATTTAATATGGGTATGAATTTATGTTTATATACACACATGTTTAAAATTTTTTTACAATAAATTATTTTTAATGGTAAACTTATTTTTGTTACTAGATAGAATCTACTATTTTAGAGAGCCTGCGATTAAAACATCAATATTCAAAATTTATCGTAAGGACGTTATGCTATATACTACAGTAATTTAATTTGATTAAAAATTTAATTTGTAATTTATTAACCTTACGTTTGTTTTTAAGGGTCAACTTAAATCAGGGAACCAAATAAATATTTTTAGATTTTCAAATTTTTCAATTACCGTATTTTATTTACATATCATTAATTAACTTAAGTATGAATTATACATATGTACATATTTGCATCAAAGATTTGGTTTGAATTTACATTTCAAATGTTAAAGTACCTGGTTAAAAATTTAATTTATAATTTCATTCAAAAAAAAAAAGGAATTTATCGTGCGTTTCGTACTACAGCTTGGTGAAAAAAAAGGGACCAGATTTTTCTGAATATAAATGAATGCTTATAACTTCTATAAATTTTGTAATTAAATTTTATAAATTATAGTCTATTAATTACATAAAACAATTTTGATTAATATAAAATGAAAATTTAAACAAATCCAATTGATTGCATAATACCGAAAATAAAGAGCAAAGAATTACCCTGTATATTGAAGGTGAAGTGCAAAGATATGCTAAATAGTAAATTTTACTTGGGAGCGTTTTGAATACAAATTTTCGAAAAGAAATCAATTAATTAGAATAACGCTATATAAAATTTAGTTTTTATTTTTTGTTTTTTTTTTTTCAAATAAAACTACTTAAATTGGTTTTTAACTCCAAATAAGCTTTTTTTTTAATGAAATTTGAGTTTTTACAAAAAACGTTGTGCCCTTATCAGAAAATAGCTGATAGTGTTAAAATTGCTATAATACCAAGTGATGTACTTAAGAAATATTATTTGTGTTTCATGAATATATCAGGTTTTACAATACTCTAAGAGTGCACTTAAAGGTCTTATTTTCCTGCTTCGGCATTAAACTTGAGCTATTTAAACCACACCGATTTCACAAACTAATACATTTATGAAGGATAATTCTTATATAGCAACCAAAAAAAAAAACGAAATTTAATATAGACCGGTGCTAACATATTTTAAATATTAATATTAACAATTCATTAAATTTAAATTTTATTTTTTAAAACGATCGTTGTGGTA